TCTGTCCACCGTTTTAGGGAACATGTTTTGTTTTAAAGTAAGTTACAGAACTTTTCCCTTCTTTTCTGGAGGGCTTTTATTTCACTAAAAACGATCTAATATGGATATCCACATAATTCCATATTAGATTCGTCATGAATGTGAGTTGTTGTTATTCAGCCTGTTCTATCTTTTTTAACTTTGAGCACCCGCCCCTTTAAACGTCTCTGCACGGCCCTGAGTGAGTGTATGCTCAGCCCTGCCCCCCGCCCCAGTCCAACTCTGTCACCACAGAAACAGAAAGCTTGCCGTGCTGCATGAGGCAAGTTTCGGATAAACCAGCAATGCCTGACCCTTACCCTCGCCCTGCTTGTAAGTCTCAGAAAAATGTCACTTCCTCTGAGAGAGTGAGCAGGACTCATTGGCAACTCTAGGCTTTTCTCCCAAGGCCACATTTTGAAGTATAACTTTATAATATAATTTAACTTTAAGGAACTTGATATGTTTACATAGCATTTTCATCTGACCAATAGGGGCACCCCCTGCACCCAGTAAAATCAACTATGGCTTGACTATTATAATCATTACAATAAGATAAGAGCAGCCCTTGGGGCAATTATTTTTAGTTGAGGGCCATATACAAGCTTGCATCACCATGGCAGCAAGGGCCATTCTTTAATGATCATGTTTGTGTCCCATAAAAATTGATTTTTGACAATATATGCATATATCAATAGAAGCAGTCCATCTATCATGTTTTGGGGACAAAAATCGTCTAATTTCATAAACTTCATAGATGAGCTGGCTTGTGCCTAGGTCTGAATAACGGTATCCACTGTCCCTCAAAATGGAGATCAACAAAAGCTGCACATCTTCCCAGGTGAAGATATCTAGCACCACAACAGTATAAACCAAGCTGCATAAGAGGTGTGAGGGAGCGAAATAGACAGTTGTTCCTGTTTGCACAAGATCATCAGAGTCTCCTGCTAGTATGAATATTTGTTGTGTTGGCTTTGCAGATTACAGTTTGCTAAAGGGGCTTTGTTTCCATATCAAGGCTGTATCAGTAAGACTGTGTACAAGTTTTGTGGCATTACAGGCCTGTGTATTTCGGGGCTCTAAATCTGGATACTATCAAATATGTGCAAAAATCCTTTGACCTCATAGTGGGACCCACAGGCTTGTACACACACGTTCAGAAGATGTCTGCGACAACACCCACAAACTGATCACCTCAGAGGGATAAGAGAATATCACATCCATAAATCATACAACCCACCGTAATTCCAATCAAAGGAATGTTCCAGAAGAAACAAAAATATAGACCTTGTGAAATGAATGTGAATTCTTTATGATATAAGATAGTCAGCATTCTTCTCCTCCCATCACAAAAAAGAGTAATAAAGTCAAAACAGCAATAAAGGCCGTGTTTTACAAGGACATGTACAAAGTTGTTAAAATATTCACCTCCCAAACATTTTCTGCATATTTCCTATACTTTGGGTCTTCAACCATACTGATTATATAAAAACAATAAATGAAGAAATAACATTATTTACTGTGTAAAATTAAACTTAACCTAAGAAAATGCCAGTTAGGTCACACTTCGATCCCACATAACTGATTCCCACCATTAACAGGAATCTCTGTAACTACTCACTTGCTGTAGTCCTGAAGTCCTGTGCCTCCCAGCTATGCGGAGTTCTGCACAAGATCTTCAACTTAAGCCTAAATATCATGAAGGTTCCGGTGCTGTGGAAGACATCATGTCTAGTCCCTGTCCCAAAAAAGGCACGACCCTGTGCCCCATCAGACTACAGGCCAGTTGCACTCACTTCTCACTGCATGAAAGTCTTTGAGAAACTGGTCCTCGTCTCACTCCACCCAGTAGTTCTACCAGCACTAGATCCACTTCAATTTGCTTATCGGACAAAGGTTGGAGTGGATGATGCCATTATTTACCTGCTGCACCGTGCCTACAGCCACTTGGAGAAACCTGGAGGATCCCTAAGGATCACATTCTTTGATTTCACCAGTGCCTTTAACACCATTCAGCCTGCCCGACTGGAGAGTAAGTTGTCGTCTGCTATGCAGGTTCCGTCCCCCTTAGTCTCATGGATTATGGACTATCTAACAGGAAGGCCACAATACGTGAGGCTGCAGGGCTGTGTCTCAGACACTGTAATGTGTAGCACTGGAGCTCCTCAGGGAACAGTTCTGTCACCGTTTCTCTTCACCATGTATACATCCGACTTCAAATACAAGAGATGCAGAAATTCTCAGATGACTCAGCTATAGTTGGATGCATCAGGAATGGAGACGACTCGGAATACAAGAAGGCGGTGGACAGGTTTGTGGAATGGTGTGAGCTGAACCAACTGCAACTCAACATCAACAAGACCAAGGAACTG